CACCTGTGGTCCCAGCTACTTGGGAGGCAGAGGCAGGAGACTCGCTTGAGCCCAGGAGTTGGAGGTTGCTGTGAGCTGTAATGCTACGGCACTCTACCCAAGGGGACAGCTTGAGGCTCTGTCTCAAAAAAAGAAAAAGAAAGAAAGAAACTTGAGTAGGAGTTGGGGAGTGCCAGGCAAGGGGAAGTGTAAGTCCTTTGCTGCCTAGTTATATACTGTTTAACACATGCTGTGCCGTGCCCTGAGCAGTTGTTCTTTTTTTTTTTTTTTCCATCTCTTAAAAAAAAAGATATGGCATGTTCTGGGTTGGAGGATGCAGAACCAGCCTGCTTGGTGAGACAGGGTGGAGAGGCAGGAGGAACTCTGACCCCAGGGAGGAGAAAGGGGAATAGGTAAATGCTCTACCAGAGACCACGTGAGGACAGAGAGAGCACTTGAACCCTTCTCCCTTCACTTATTTTCCTCTTGCAGTGTAATTACATCCAAGGACAGAAGAACATGCATGGCTTTTCCAATCCAGCTTGATTCCAAACTCCAGATCCCCATCCAGTTCACTGCCCCTGCTCCAGGCTGAGCAGCTGTGGGTTTCCTAGGGGTCAAGATGCAGAGGTTGCCCAGAGAGTCATGGTGGTTCCTTTAGTTACTCAGGGAGGGGAGCAGGATGGGTAGGGATTATCTTGGGCTGGAGTCTTGAGCTCTTAGCTGAAGAGGGTCTGAGATGGTTAATTTGTTTATTTTTGTTTTTTGAGACAGTCTCAGTATGTTGGCCTCAGTAGAGTGCCGTGGTATCACAGGTGATGGCCCCCTCAAACTCTTGGGCTTAAGCAATTCTCTTGCCTCAGCCTCCCAAGTAACTGGGACTAGAGGTCCCCTCCCCCTGCCACAATGCCCAGCTATTTTGTTGTTGTTGTTTTTGCAGTTGTCATTGTTGTTTGGCTGGCCCAGGCTGGGTTCAAACCCACCAGCCTTGGTGTATGTGACCAGTGCCATAACCACTGAGCTACAGGCACTGAGCCAGCCATGGTTAATTTTGTATGGCATCTTGACTGGGCCACAGAATGCCCAGATAACTGGTTAAATTTTTTTTCTGGGTGTGTCTGTGAGGGAAGAGACTAGCACTGGAATTGATGACTGAGTAAACCAGATGCCTTCCTCAGCATGGGTGGGCACCAACCAATCTGTCAGGGGCCTGAATAAAAGACAAGTGGATAAGTGGATTCTCTGCTTGACCACCTGAGCAGAGACACTGGACTTTTCCCACCCTCAGTGCTCCTAGTTCTCTGGCCTTCAGACTCTGACCGGGATGGAAACCATCAATTCTTGGTCTCTAAGGCCTTCAAAAGACACCACCAACCTGGCTCTCCAGCTTGCGAATAGCAGATTGTGGGCCTTCTTAGCTGCCCTCAGAGAGAAAGAAAGAGAGAGAAAGAGAGTGTGTGTGTATGTGTGTGTGTATGCATTCCTCCTATTGGTTCCATTTCTCTGAAAAACTCTCACTTTCCCACTGTGATGGAGAACTCCAAGGTAGGTAGAGTCATATTTTTTGCATGAATGCCAACTTGCCATTCTTCCATTCCTTTACGAGCCATTTACTGATTGCATGCTACATGACCAGTACCATGCCAAGGCTTCTAGACTTTGAGGCTAGGCAGAGGACATGGTGACCTGAAGCTCCAGATTCTGCAGTCACCTAGACTTCATGGCATTGCTTGTTGCCAAAGAAAACATAGGTTGGAGTGAAGCAAGGGAGAGTGGAGCGAGGTTTAGGTCCAGCTGGTGGACAGACCCTTTGCCCAGACTGTAAGGGGCTGAGGCCTGGAGACAGTCAATCTCGTCTGGATTCACTCCGATTTCTACCCTCCCTCTGCCTGCCAGGTCTCACTTCAGAGTGTAATCTTTTGTTTCTGGTTCTATCACAGCACCCTACTGTGAGGCCTCACCTTCAACATTGCGAAACAGGATATTAGCCCCACACTCATAGGAAACCCACACAAAGTATGAAGAGCTTGTTCCATTCTAGGCAGTGAGAGGACCCCTGAGCATAAGAGGATTTCTGGGGAAGTGCCTTCTGAGTCCCAGAAATCCCCCAGGGAGGAGGCATGGCACTGTTGGGTGAGGGGTGGGAAGAGTACTTGGGATGTGCCTAGCGCTGTTCCTGACCCAGCTGCATAGGCGGGAGCAGCCCTGCTCCCTGAAGGTGTTTAATAGCTGAGCTAAAGCCCTACAAACAAAGATATTTTCACAGCAGGAACCATATGAACTACCCAGAAATGATTCTCAACCTAGAAATTACTCTTTCTTCTAAA